GAAACCACCCCCCCCCCCCCCCCCCCCCCCCCAATTATCGCGTCTAGTTATGGCCCTGGCTATACCTCAGTGGTGGTGAGCAGATTCGTCGACACCATGATGCGAGTATGCCTGGAGATGACCAAGAAGCGTGGTGGTTACAACCATTGTTAAATTATTGATTAATTATCGTTGTGTGCAATTTCAATAAACTCATTCTTGTTAATTTTGCAATTGGCTATTTTTGTATTCAATGGAGGTTAAGACCCCGTTTACACTGTACTGGATTCGCTGGTCACAACATCTTCGTTTGCGGCCCAGGAGCAACGTTTAAAAACAAAGGTTTACTCTTTCGATAACATCCGTAGGTTTCTGCTTGTTCATTACCATTATAAATGTTTAGGCTATTTCATTGACTGTTAAAACTGATGATGTGACCAGCAAATCCGGTACAGTGTAAACGGGGCCTAAGTCATTCTTTCATGCAAGCATGAGTGACCCCATCCTTCACACAGCATTAAGCAAACTTGATTATCAGGGACTTGTTTGTTTAGAAATTATGCTGATATATTTAGGGGGAACTTTCTTTTTGTGTGGTGTTTATATTCAGCTCATATTCCCAAACCGCTCACATTTGCAAATCCAAATCAAGTTTGCCTGATGATGGCTCTGCAATAGAGTTGAAACATTGTTGCCATCGTAAGAATAACGTTTTAAATAAGTGGATAAGTCACAAAAATATCTTGTGTGTTTAAATGGGGATTTGAACTCAAATCCTGCATGATATTCAAATCCACCATGAGTGAGCATTATGTTGACAACACAGTGTTGGATTTTTCTCGTTAATAAAATTATTTTTAAGTACCTAGTTTTGCTTTATATAGTATACACAATTATGTTAAGGTTGTGAACCGCAAAACATGAATGCAGTTTAATTTAGTGGTGATTTTAGAGAATGCAACAAATTGAAGCGTGTCTTATATAGGCCTATATTTATCGCCGTTGCATAGTCAGCTCAGCATATGATCTTTAAAAACCTGTGCCAGTGTAAGTATGGTGCTCATAATAACAAAACTTTGGTTGATAGGGATGCAATTTACTACCTGAAAAATACAAGGAGAATTTCAACATTTTGAGCAAAGGCCCTTCATTCTTCAATGTTTTGAGCAAAGGTCCCTTGTTAAGTCCTTTGGCCCTAACTTCCACACAAAGGACCTTCGTTCGAAATATTGCAGCTCTCCTTGAATTTTTCAGGGAGTTGCAACCCAGCCTAGACCTTCGATTTTTATTATTTTTTTAATATTCAGCGCTTTTTTACATTAGAAGACTGGGACTACGTGATTTGGGGCGGGGCGGAGGAAGGGCGCAATGGCCATTGCGATAATTACCAAATGCTAGCCCGAAATTGACCAAACCTGCAAAAGGTACCTGCCAAAGCCAGCCAAGTAAAGGCCTAGGTCTAGGTTGGTTGCAACCCTATCAACCGAAATTTTGTTGTACAGAGGCATATTCAGGGTGGGCGACAATGGGAACATTTTGAAGGTGACAATTCCTCCCTGACGAACGATTATACAACACCCCCTCCCCAACTCGTTTGAGGTTGGTACGATCATGGTTGTGTATCGGTAACGATGCGGCTAAATCTGCCAGTGCTATATAACTATATCTGCCACATACCTGCAACAAGATGAGGAAACTTCAATCGAAACCACGCAGATAAAGACCCGGAATATGATCCACCAAAACAAATCCATTTACAGTCGGTCAGTTTAAACTTAACATTCATTGCTTCTACAAATGCGGCTAAATCTGCTAGTGCTTGTTCACTGTTGAGAAACTGCAAGTTATCCACACTCATATCGCTAAAATCATCATAAAATGTGGAATAAGACACACAATATATCGACTAAAAATGTGAATAATAATATTATTAATGCAATGACAATGCTTACAACATAAAATACAATAATATTATATGCATAAATTGTCTACATCTTAAAATTAAATATCGCTATACACTCAAAGTTTCACGACAAGTTACAACGAGTTCAAAGTTAGATACAGAAACCATAAAAAGTCATTCAATAAGGCTATGTACTCGTCTGACACGGAACTTTCAAAATACGTGTGAGATTTGAAGGAAAAGAAAAGGGAATATAATATCGAGTGATCCATTTTAAAACGAGCGACAGCGCATGTGCCTGGCGGAAGGCGTTGTAATTTGTGTATAGAAGACAAATTAGAAATAATGATTTTTTTCCTGTGTTGGTGTATATACTCAGGTGAATATGATGCTTGTGATGTTACTCTGAGTGTATATCCACACCGTGGCCAGGCATATTTTTCAAGCTTGTCCGGTTTGGATATACACTCAGAGTAACATCAAAAGCATTAGAAATAATGAATTAAGTCGAATAAAACCAAACTGTTGAAGTTGAACAAAAGATCTGAGTTCTTCGCGAAATGTCACCATCAGGGGAAATTCTGCGCAGGCGTCCCCGGGCGCTCCGGGCAGTATTTAGTAGGACCGCCAATGCGCGCGCGTATTCAGTTCGTACTGAATTTAATCGCCTGAAGATTGTCAGAGAAAGTGATATGAAACTTGCCGCGTAGCTCAGTTGGCAGAGCATTGGGCTTGTATTCCAAAGGTCGTAGATTCGAACTTCGATTCCCACCGTGGACAGGCATATTTTTCAAGCTTGCCCGGTGTGGATATACACTCAGAGTAACATCACAAGCATCATACTCACCTGAGTATATTACGTACCAACACAGAAAAAAATCAGATTAAGACATTTTAAGATAACAAATTAATGATATATATGATGTTGTGATAATTGTTCACTTGGTAATATATGATAGGATGAAATGTTCTCGGTAATGTTTTGCTATAATTTTAGAAGTGGAGGGACGCTCTTGAAAATCAAATGGGCGTGGTCACTCGATTGGGAGTGGCCAATGGCCATTAAATTAAACAAGCGGGGTTTTAGTCTAATAGACATGCTTGCCAAAATATGTCACATTTATTCTAGTTAAACAAACAATATAATAATATATTTGATAATTACATATTACATTCTGCTTATGAACGCAGGCGACGAACTGATTTTTAATTTAAACTACTGTTTGATGTAAAAATGTCTTAAATGTCTAAGCTTTAAAGTAATTTCCAGACGGCTTGCTTCGCAGTTGCCTCTTCATTATCTTCCAACTTGCATTTATTTACTCTTTGATCATCTGCTGAATGATGGTTTCGTAGCCAGGATTTCGCGTATCTGTCACGTTTCCAAGCATCGGTGGGAGGACCATGCGTCTTCACAAACATCTAATTCGATATGCGGTCAACAAGAAGGCGATTTTTGTTGAAGTGCAAACTAAGTTTATTGACTAAATCCGCGCTCGCATTCAGCTGATGAAACTTGGATAAAGGAGCAGCATCTCAGTAATGGCCGAAGGTCGTCAGGAACTCGTCTTCCTTGACTGTCAACATACTCTTGGAATGCAGACACTGTAACATTTCTCGCAAGGCCAAAGCGATCACACAGTGATCGTACTTCTTCTACACCGTAGTTGAAATCAACATGTGTCGGATAAAGAAAGAAAACTTGGTCTAGAAGCTTCTGGTATGCAGCACTGGTAAATTCGGACAGTGCCAGATGCAGCGAAAAGACGATCCTTCATTGCATCCAACAATTTGTCAATCAATGCGTTTATATGATCAACACTGATATGCCTATATGCATAATTGAAACATAGATTCCATATTCCCCACTCTTCATAGAATTATCTCATAATTTGAATTACCTCATGCATAGTCAGTAAGTCATAGGTCATAGTGAACAAGTACATAGGCAATAGCTTAATCTTTGAAGTGGATTTAGTAGAATATGATACCTGAAAAACACCTAGATTGCGCGCCCTAGATGTCAAAAAGCAAATAAAACCAGGTTAACTTTTGAATTTCAATGATGCAATTAGTGCTATGCGAGTATGCTGCAAGCCAGCAACTTGGCAAGCAGGCAACATTGAAAGTTAAATATGATGTTTTCGCAAGTGACTAAAAAAGCTTAGATAATACATATCTTTGAATCTTTCCCATTTAATCATGTTAATGTTCTTATTGAATCATTTCATGCATGTTCCCATTGATCATTTTAATGATCATTTTAATGTTTAATTTCGCGATTGCGCAAAAGACTATACTATAATTATATCCTGCTGGGCGGCTGCCCCATGTTATCCGAGCTTATTGACAATAAGTATTATCTAAGTGGATGTCAGTTATCAGACTCTACTCACTCTGGTATTTTTGTGCTAGTCTGCTAGAATTTTCTGCAAGTACCAGTATATCAAGTTTCAGGGAGATTAAAATAGTGACAAAGTTACATTCTGAAGTATTTCCATGTAGTACGCTGAGTAATTATTGCCAAACATAACAGAGTCGAACAGCATTCACTGAACTTCACTCATACTTAACCCCTGCCAGGGGGAACGACGTTCCCTCATGTTTGATTTTGGCATTTTGACGCCGTTCTCCTGGTAAAAAAAAGTGGGGGGACAGCATTCCCCCTGGGAAACATCACTGGTACTCAAGTGAATGATTCCAAATGGTTGCAACTGGGTTTTAACCCTGCAACCTTCAAATTTTCGAAGAAGTGAGATTTTCTGCTTGCACGGTTTGGAATCGTATTTCACCCGAAAACATTTTAACATTTATATATATATATATATATATATATATATATATATATATATATATATATATATATATATATATATATATATATATATATATATATATATATATATATATATATATATATATAGCGGTCCTCGCAATTTTCGGCGGCAAAAGGCAATTGCCGCCGATAATGCCGCCGAAGATTAAATTATCGGCTGTAATTTTTTGCTGTCGACGAATTTTTGTGTCACTGATGATGCTTCACTGCCTTCTCAATTTGATTAGTTCTTCTGAGTATGAACATATGATTAGAAAATAAGTCAGGGAAAGTGAGCTATTC